TTGCTATAACTGGGAGTCCATTTGGGGTCGTGATTTGACGGGGTTTAGTTCAAATATACTAAATTATATAAAAAAAAAAATAGTACTTTAATAATATTAAAAAATTTAAAATTTTCATATCCAGTCATAATTGTTAAAAATTTTGCAATTGTATTTGACTGGTTTCATATTTTGAAAACATTGTAAAATAATTCCATTATCAACACCTTTTAATACATCTGTTTCAATGTATACAATTAAGCTATCAAATTATGCAAAGCAATTTTTAAAATGTTTATTGCTAAAAACGCTTTCTTTACTATGAGAGCGAGAACATGAAGAATAAATACTAGCTTCAACAATAGATAAACTAAGTCAATGAAGGCTCTTTGAGCTTTATCTAAAACATACATAATTTCAGAATTTTTTTCGTTTCAGCTGGAGTCCTCGCTGGACCCATGTAGCTCCGCCATTGATTTGGGTTACGGGGATCCATGCTTATTATTGAGAAGAACTGAATTTTGGCAAGTTAAAGTTGCTAGCATTTGTAGCTCGGGTTGCAGGAGATATTGCAATTCAGAAATATTGCAAAAATATCAGCTCCTTACTCCTGCAGATGTTTCCTCTAGTTGTGCTGTATGGATTATTTCAAAATCTGGAAATTTCAATGTTGTTGATACTTGAGATTGAAGAAAAACAATGTTCCTCGGCATAATTTAGTTTGGTGTTCACTAAATGTGCCTAATTTTTCTTTTATTTCTTGTCTTATTATTTTTGGACAGGCTGAGAAGCAATCTGTCCAAGATGAAGTCTTGAGGTTTTGATGTCCAATCGACAACTTGTTTCTTGTGACAGGCTTAAGAGGAATGCAGAGATCATTTATTTTTTTTGTTTTTTTTTTTCTTGTGCTTAATCTAAGCAGATGTTACCGGAGGTGGATGCAAATTATAAGGTGGGGTGTCCATAGAAACTCATAAAAATAGAAAATAAGAAAGTTTGAAGGTTCATATTCTCTTGGACACCCTCAAAATTTTTTATTCTTTGTTGAATGATGGTTTAGTTATATTGAGAAGGATATATTTTTAGTATGAATAATAAAGCAATTGTTTTTTCTTTTCAAGATTTGATAATTTGTTGTGGACAATTTGTAATAATATAACAATATATTATTTCAAATTTATGTTTACAAATTTTTTATATACTATAAATAAATACCACCGAAAAAAAATATATGGATCCACCACTGTGTGCTCCAGAAAGTTCTCGTCACTTCTTCAATTTCTAGAGTTTGCATCAGCTGGGATTCTGATCTTAGTTAGGCAATCTCAACTTTTAGAGTGAAAACCTTCAAAGCTACATTGTCGAGATTTGTATGGACAGCTATTATCCGTTTTCTTTGGCAAGAAGGGAATTCTGGAAAGCATTTGGCTTGAAAGAGGACACCAGAGGATGGATTTCAATTGGTTGTTTGTTGCCGTGAGAGCTCGTTTTCCTTTTATAATTTCCTACCTATTTTTGTGACTATTTAACGTATTGGTATAAGTGGTGGATCTAAAATATTTTTGAAGTGTCTACTTATAATATATATATATATATATATATATATAAATTATCGATAAATTTATTGATTTTGTCAACAAAAAATGTGTTCAATAAAAATTTTGGGATGTCTAAATTTTCTTATTTCCTAAATGGATCCGTCACTGGTTGATATCCTTTATTTTTCTCTTCTTGAACTTTCATACCACCCTTAGTGTTTTAATTTAAGATTTTAATTCTTCCATGTTTCAGCAATAGCATATTGTTTCAGTGGTAGATGCAAATGTTATAATACCAGTAGGGGTGAGAAAAAAATAAAAATTCAATTTGAAATCATATTGTTGGATTCAAATTAAATTCAAATATTAAATGTATATATTAGGTTCATATGGATTTTGAATTGAGAAGTAAAAAATTAATAAAAATGAATAGAATCAAATTATATATTTTTATAAGATTTTATATAAATTTTAAACTTTTATAAAATAAAAATAATTATTTTATATCAAAATCTATTTACAAATATTAAAATTTTATATTAAAATAATATATAAAAAATAAAAAAATAAATTTTAAAAATTGATAAACCAAATTGAACCAAACCAATAAAATTTGGTTTGATTTATATCGTATGAAAGATCGATTCGGATTCAAATCAAATTTTAAAATTTTATAATATTATGTAATATCTAAAAAAATTAAATTAAATTGACGATGCAATATTCGAAAAAAATAAATTAAATATAATTTAATTTAACCTGAACATTATCATCCTTGAATAATAAGGTGTTTATGAACACCCTAAAAATTGAAAAATAAAAAAATTTAAAGGTAAATTTTCTTTTGGATACTTTCAAAATTTTCTACTGAACACCTTTCTTCTTGTACATATCTTTCTTAAATCTCTAAGACTCTATTCACTACCACTATCTAATACCCAACCACAACTCAACCAGCCAACGTACAACACCCAATAAACATCCACTGTAATAAGTGAACACAAAAAAAAAAAAAAAATCTACATTCATCACCGTATTATTACATGAAACTGAAGTTCAAAATATGGAAGAAATAGATGTTTCCACAATTTTAACATCCAATCAATTCCGCTCTACTTAATCCCAATTTCATGACTCACGTATCTTTCAGGCTAAGTAACGGGAACCCTTTCTTTCATATCCAATGCAGCAATTTAATGCACCTCATAGAACTTCGAAACCAAGCTAGAGATTAATGTACTTTGCTGTAAATTATGGCTTCTCATCTTATGTGCTTTCACGTTTGGATTAGAACCTTGGTGAAATCCATTAATTTGAAACCCTAATATTGAATTAAGGATTATGCTGCAAGAACATCATTTGTTCTAAATTTGCAAAATGCAGTTTTGCAACTGGAAGGTTAATCAGTGATGCACTTGAAGTAAAAGGCCAAGTATCTTTCTTGTTTGAAACACCTTTCAAGTTCGCTAGATGCTGAAGGAACACTACAATATTCATTTAATCTCCTTTTTATTTCTCTGTGTATTTGAAATTAACTTTTCAATGGGGTATTTCCCTTTGTCTAATTAGAGGCTTTTCTTGTAAGTGAGATTTTAAACGTCCATGGAAATAGTTGCACATACTTTAACAACAAAATGAACGAGGTAAAGATAACGATTTTGCAGCTGACTTTTTTTTCATTACATAAGGATTTTTACAATGATATATTAAAGTTTCATTTGTTTTGCAAAAAATAATTTTTGAAAATTGATTTATATATATATATTTGTTTTTATTTGGTAAAAAATTGGTTGGTTAATAAAAAATAATTTACCAATTGATAAAAAATGAGGTTTTGTTTTGAAAATTGTCTTCTCTTTGGAAAAGGGGAAAATAAATTTAAAAAAAGAGCTATCTATGAAAAAGACTACTTACGACTCATTATAATAATTCTATTTAAATCGGACCTTAGACATAATCTTTTAAACTCAGGCATAATTTAATTGATCCAAATATATTATTATATTATCAAAAGAATATTTTTAGTTTTTTACTTAAAAATTTAAAACATTAATATTAAAAATCTTTTAATATTTTGATTTCAAATATTTTTATATTTATATTCAAATCAGGCTTTGGACGTGGTATGTGATGATTGTGATGATATAATATTAATAATGATTAAGGATAAAATAATAATTTTTCAATATGGGACAAGTGTCCAAAACTAATACTTAGGGAATAATTTTAATGTATAGGTTTTGTTTGTTTCGTAAAAAATGATTTTTGAAAAATATTTTTTGGAAAATGTTTATATTTTCTTAATTAAAAAATATTATCTGTTATTTGGATAAGTTAAAAAAATATTTTTCTTTATTTGGTTTTTTTTCTTAAAAATCTTTTTTTTCAAATAATATTAATATAGCTATTAAAATATTAAAATTATTTATTATTAAAGTATATTAAAATTATTTATTAATAAAATTACTAATATTTAAAAATAACTATATTTTAATATTAATATTTAATATTAAAATATTATGTTAATATAAAAAATACTTAAAATATAATTATTTATTATTCTTTATATTATTTATTAATATATTAATATAATATTTATTTATTAATATAATAATATTGATTAATATATTACTTATTAATATAATATTATTTATAAGTAAAATTACGCTTAAAAGCATTGATAAATAATTTTATTCATAGATAACTCCTTTCCGAAAATGTCTTATTCTTTTCAAATCCATAAAAAAATTTCCAAAAAAATAGCTTTATTTTTTTATTAATTAGTAAGTCATTTTTCATTGATTAGCCAATTTTCTACTAAACAAATATCTAAAAATTTAGAAATTATTTTTTAAAAGTCATTTTTCATGAAACAAATGGAGTCATAGTATAGATGTGGATAAATTCATAATGAAAATGTTAATTTAAAACATAAAATGATAACATAAACAATATGAGAAAACACATGATGTAAAATTTTAATAAAAACAGATATAGATTTAACAAATATATATTATGTTTTTTTATATCAACATAAATTATATATAATTTCTATGTAAAACATAAGAAAATACACTAATTGCTAGTGTTTTTTATATCGATACAAATCATAATACATAATTTTCATATAAAATACAATAAAATACACGAATTGCTAGTATTTTTCATCACAGAAATTATCATATCTAATCCAGAAACCACCTTGGATGTGGAAGTTCCATATGGGGCTAATATTTCCTGTTGGAGAGGGGAGACACCACATGCAAACAAAATTAAAAGACGTTTTCTCAACACTCAGTACCCAATAAATTGAGAGAATAATTAGAAGAAAACTACTTCAACGTTATATGAACACAACTTCTACCTACCTTTCACCTTCAAGTGGTGCCCAATTCCTTTTTCATTGAATGGTCTCATTCAATTATGACAACAATGCAAAACCCAATTTGGATACCAACGAGACACGTCTTCAGATTACATAATTTCACTAAGAAAAAGTTGGGAAACTCAGAAGCTAAAACACGTACCAACTGCCATTTCCAAAGCCAAATGACAATTTTCCTATGGAGAAGAAAAATAATAGAAGTTGCCTCGACGAATTGGCGCTGGTAAAAGCTGCTGCATGGGCATGGTACCAGCATGGTTCAGGGTCGGATGAGAAGCCCATGCGAGAATTCGATATCACACAAACAACACGAGCGCCGTGTAGGCCTTCACGTTACAAGCTGGAAGCCATGAGAAACAACGCATCCAAAACCATAAAGGGATCAGAAACAACCAATCCAATCCACACCCAGAATTCTCTCCTCGATTCCTATGAAATCGAAAGCATTTCCAAGCGACTTGGCCACCTCATTGAGTTCAGTGGAATCAAATTTTACGATGATTTACTGTGCATAGATAGGGATTACCAAAAGAAAATGGTATTGAATGGTGGGAAGAAGAATAAGAGCAACAAGCTGAAAGGGTTTCTGCTAAGGCGTGCGGTGGTGTGTGGCAGAAACCAAGATGTGGATGATCGAGCAGTCAGAGGTGAGGATGATCAACGGAGACCGGAAAAACATGCGCATGTAATTAAGATGGTCAACTGTAAGCCATGGGTACCCCAAGCTTGGTAAGTTTTGTGGGTGGCTTGGTCCTTGGCCACGTACTAAATGCCTGCTGCTTATACGTGTTCTTTTGGGAATTATTTGCAGCACCTTCATACAAATGTCAAATATTTGCAGTTTGGGTTTTAAAAAGTTTAAGGTGAGGGAGGTTTTTCATTTTGGTGATAAGGACATCATATGTTAAGAGAAAATTTCAAATTTATTAACCAGCCCGACCTGTTAGCATTTCATTCCTCGTTGTCATACTAGTAAAATCTTTAGCGAAATCTTTCTCCAATTGATCTTATTATTGATTGATGGTTAAGTCATACATATAGAAAAGTTCATAGCATATGTTCTTATTTCTTTTGCTTTCAGTATTCAAAGGTACTAAAAAATAATTTGTTATGATTTTGATGATTTCAACTTGAATTATTTAGGATACAGATTTATAAGATGAATTTCTTTTAGCTAAAACTATATTTAGTTAACATCTTATTTTTGTTGATAATATTTTGCATTCTTAATATATATACATATATATATATATATATATTATACATAAAAGTTTAGGGTAAGAGGAGCTTTCTCGTTCTAGGATCAGGATAGATTGTTAGCCTAAAAAAATATTTATATTGGATTTACAAATTATCCATCAAGAGGAATTACTATATCATGATTCAAGTTTAAACTTTACAAGTAAGGCATTTGAACCTTATTAATTCAACTAATGTCATTGACGTTGCATTTTTAATTTATTTTTTATTTAAGTGATCATGAATTGATCTCTACAATTTTAAATATAAAAAAATAAAATATTTAGCAATATGCCACGTTATCATTCACAAATGCATTATTATATGTTTATATTAACGATTGTCTTTAATATAAGCTAACAAGAGTTTTGTTATCTTATATGAATGATTTTTACGTTGTTATCCCTCCTGATAATGGAAATGAACTATAAAATTATAAGTAAAAAATATTCCATAAAAAGTAAATAAAAAAATTGCAAATTACAGAGTCTATGTAGAGTTTACCCTAAAAATTAATATCCAAACCCTACACAAACTCAATTACCAATATCTGCAAAAAATTCTAACTAGGTCGTTAAATTATAAATAAAGTGGATATGTATTTTCAACTCGACAAGCATTAACTAAAAATAATGTATATTTGTTGTTTTCCCTTTGATTAAAGTGAATTCTACCCAGTGTGCTAGCTATTTTTAATAACAATCATATAGCAAAGAATGATGTTGGTGCCTTCAACTTCTTGACTTAATGGTTAAGAAATCTAAAAAAAAATGTAAGACATGGAACCGATTTCAGCCAACCAGGTCTCCATAAATCCCGTGGGCCAAAAACAAATGACGTTGGTGACTTGCCTTTCAAAGCGCCAAAGTTGATAAAATTCGATTAATTGAAGGATACCTTAGGTAGATTAATCAAATGATTTTGATCATAGATAAATCTTAAGAGATAAAAATGATCAAGATGCCAAAAAGTTATATAGAAAAAAACAAAATTATAATCCTGACATACCAAAATAAGATAAAAATAGATAAATAAAAAAAATCTTTTTGGCATAAAAAATAAAATTGAAGTTGTGCCACAAGTTGGGAACGTATAGATCGATCTGGATGACCTCCCAAATCTTACTTAATTTGACTTTAAAAATGAACTACTTGAACCTGAATGACCCAAATCTCTTGGCTTAAGTACTCAAATTCTAATTGCTAATTAGTTTTAAGCTTAAACGATGCACAAATATACAATTATATATACAAAATTCAATTATAATAGAATTAATAAACTATATATAAAAATACTAAAAAATTCAATATAAAATAAGTAATGCAAAAAACAAATATCATAGATAAATATGTATATAATAAATTTAAAAAAAGACGTTTTTATATTATATCCCATATAATGATATTTCAAAAAATCAAACAATGTTTGATTCCAAAGAGTTGAAATTTACTTCACTTAAAATCAATTTTTTGTATAAACTTTTATCATACTTTTCTTATGGGCAATATTTCAGCATTTTTATTTTTTTAGTATATTATTGTTGATTTTATTAATACATATTTCTTTTTTTTTTGTCAAAACTTAAAAATTTAAATATAAAAATAACTATGAAATTATTGAAACCACAAAATTATCGTTACAGAGTAATTAAAAGTAATTAAATATCTCATGCATGCTATATGATAAATGATCTTTCACTTTCATGTAAGTAGTGGCAAGTTTGAGACCTAAGAATTAGCCCCAATTATTGTAATCACAAAAAAACATTCATGTAATGAATTTCCCATTAGATTTGAGATTTGAGAATCAACCTCCATCATCGTAATCACAATATTTGAGCTTTATTGAAAAAAATTTAAGGTAAGGAGAGGGTAATTACAAAAAGAAAAGAAAATGCAATTAGATAAAAAGGTATAAGACAAAAATATTAATATAATATATATATATATATTTATATTTATACACACACACGTTAAGTAATAAAAAGAGATGACAGTAAAAAAAATAATAATAATAAAAAGACATATTCGGAAGCCTAAATTTTTAGAAGGCACCTGGATTTGCACTTCTCGTTGCTGCCCTTTACCTTGGTGCAGATTTACATGTTAGAAATTTTTAGTAAGTGGACTATTAATAATTGATGATTTTATAATTTAATAAAATCATTTAATAACTTTAGTCTTAATATGAGATATGCATGAAACCTAAATAATTTAATTGTATCAATTATGTGTGGCCTTTACACATCTTACTAGGTCAACGAAGTTTGGTGATTGTATAGGCCTTTGACCAATAAGCATTTGATTGAGAGACTTCTCAAGTTTCAATAAAATATATGGTAAATATCTCTGCTTCACTTCTAATTAATAGTATCTATCCATTAAGAGCCACCAGTAAAAGAAGAACGAAGAAAAACACTTAGTTTGTTCAAAAAATTCATATTATTACTTCCACTTATCATCTATAATTGCCAAAACAAGTATGTAAATTGATCGATTGGTGTTCTAATATTTACATATAGATCTTAGATTTAATGCTTGCATGTGGTATCAAAGCCTCCTTATATGAGATTATACCCAAAACATTATTTTCAAATTTGTTTTGAATCAAAAATATTGTTTTTAGGCAAAATTTTGTGTTGCTGATATCCCAATTTCCAATCTTCATTTCTAAAAATTAGATAAGGGCTTTTTTGTTCCTCTTGAAATAAGGATTAAAATCATATCAACAATTTTTGGTAATTCATTTTGTAGAAAAAAATTAAGATTTAAAGTTTTGAATTCAAGATTTGAACCAAATTCAAGTTTTAATTTTAATTAAAATCTTGATATTTTATTTATTTTAATCCGAATTGGTTTTTGAATATATATTATTATCCATGTGTTATAGAGACTAAACAAATTGATTTTATAAAATGTTGAATTATATGGCCAAATTTGAAAAAAAAATTGAATTGGATTATGTATGGGTTTTTATTACGAAAATCTCGACTTAAATTGGTGATTCATGTTGTTTTAATGCGATTTTATGCATGATATTTATCAACATGTGTGTTAATTAAATTTTGGAGGGTTTTTTATATAAAAATAAAAAAATGAAAAATAAAAGAAGGAACATCAAGAATAGTAGCCAGCATTACAATGGGTATATGAAACACGAAAGATCTTGTTGATTAATCTTGGATTTTGAGGTTTTAAAGAAAAGTAATGCATGGTTGTGATGAATAAACATAAGTCACGTTTCACATGCCTTTTGGTGGATTTAAATAATTCACAACTTGAGAATTTGGGATGCAAATCAAAACAGACCGGAACGGGTAAGTTAAAACCAGTCGGGTCATACATGACCCATTAAACGTTGAAGAAGCTGATTTGTTGATCAAATTTGACACACTCTTAGTGGCAGCCTATAGGGATCGTGCTAGCTCTTATGATTTTTATTTTCAATGCCATTTTTTGTGTTATACCTTTGATAATGTGATTAATTTAATTATTATTTTTTTCATAATTTTTAAAATAAAATAAATAATTATTAATTAATTTTATTCATATTTATTTTATTATTATGTTTATGTAGATGAATTCTATTATTTTATTTTAGGTTAAAATATTTTGACATGTTGGGAGTTTAGTACATATTCTCCTTATTTGTTTTTTAAAATTTATGTACTTTTAGCCTCACATTATGGCTTAATTGAATATATTTAGTGAAATTTATTTTTATTAATTTAGAATATACGTTTTAAATGCAATACGCACTGTTTTGAAAGGTAAATTGGATTTAAATTTCATGATGTTTTAGTATCACTAGTATCATATTAGTACTTTTATTTGATAATTAGATGATATTAAATAATTTTTTATCTGAAATAATTGGAGTTTAAAATTTTTACTTGAAATGGTTTATTTTCCATTATTATTTTGGAGTTATGTATCATCATAAATTTGTGAAATTTTTATTTCAATGGATAATACATAAAAATAAATTATGAAATATTAAATATTAAATTACTCAAAAATTTCAAGATACTAGATTTTTAAATTAGATAATTATTTGTTGATCCAATGAAATATTTATAATGATTTATCGAGATATGTATTAATTATTATTAGTCACTCACATTTTACCGACTCCCTTGCTAAAATGGGAGTGCTAATGATATGGTCGCTTGGCTCTAATTTGACAACCTTTTCATTCTAATAAAATCTATTTCATTTTGAAAAAAAAAAAATTTATTAGGCTCTCACATGGAACGATCAACTCTTTAATGACACAAAAAGAAACGCATTAAGATGGCGAAATTTTTGACATTCCTTTGAATGGAATGATATTCACATGGTTCGGCCTGGGAAAAAAGAGGAGCAGATTAGACAGATTTTTAGTCTCGATAGGCTGGATGAATCATTTTAGGGATCTATGCCGAAGAGGAGTAAAAAGGTCGATGTCGGATCATGTTCTATTGATTTTGCATTCTGAAGATGCTAACTGGGGCCCGAAACCCTTCAAATTTATGAATTGTTAGGCATTGAAGGTTGAATTCTTCGAGGAGGTGGAGAACGTGTGGAAAAATATGCAGGTTGAGGGAAGGGAAGGTTTCTGCATGATGAAGCAATTGTGTAAGCTAAAAACTTTTACAGAAAGGTGGAACAAAGATGTTTTTGGGAACATTGAGATGAATATTAGAGTACTAGAAGAAAAAGTAGAAAAACTGGATGGTATATCAAGCACTAGAGATTTAAACGAGGAGGAATTGGAGGAAAGAAAAGAAGCAATTGAGG